AACTCGGCGACCTCCTGGTAGATCGAGAACTGCTGGAAGCAACGCTATGCACCCGCATCTTGCCTCCCTGCGGTAGGAAGCGGGGGCGCCAAATCTGGCCCGGCGCGCGCCCCTGGTACGGCTGCTCGCTCTCGGGGCGGGAGTCAAAGGACACGACGGTGGCCCGTTGCTTCTGCACGAACCATGCCTGCTTGTATTTGTTCATTCACTGTTGCGAACCGAACCGCAATGCCAAAACGGGCCGGTAAGTCGCCTTGGTCGTCCGCCGTGTTGTGCATTCTCGGAGCGTTCAGGAGGCGCCGGCCCGTTCCGAGATCGCCGTGGATCGGGCTGCACTCGTCCACGGCCTGCAAGAAAGCGAAGGACACGCGCAGACGCCGAACGTCGCGACGAGCGCGCGTGTGGATTCACATCGCCAGCGTCCCCCAGCATGTGCCAGCTCTGTGCTGGTCTCTGCTGCTGACTACTGCTTCATGTAAGTCTCTGCTGCTCTCTGCTGCTCTCTGCTGGTCTCTGCTCCTGTCTGCTGCTCTCTGCTGCTCGCTCTGCTGGTATCTGTTGCTTATTGCTAACTTGTATTATTCACTTCTGGTCCCCCCCAAAAAATCGATAGACAAAGGGCTCCCGCACGAGATTTCCTCAGTTCCCATTCGCCGACGAAGCCCACGCTCACACATCCCACGACTTGACCCCGTGCGTCAATAGGCCGATGAGTCGCCTGGGACTACACGCGAGTAGCGGGGACCACATAAAAAGGGGGCCCAAACTCGAGACTTCCTCGTCGCTTACTCATACATGAAGCCCACGCTCGAGACATCCTCACGATTTGCCCCCGTGGATGCTCAACTGCGACGCCTGCTACAATAGGCCGATGATCTCCTCAGATTGCCAGCGTGGGGTGAAGACCCCATGATGACGGGTTCCCGGCGGAGACATCCTCAATTTTCTCTTACAACTGAGGCTCCCGATCAAGACATCCTCCGGATTTGTCCTTTTGGTGTGCTCAAATGCGACGCCTGGTACAATAGGCCTGCGACCGATTCGGATTACCATCGTGAACTTGAGACCCCACGGGGATGGGGCTCCCCCCGCAGAGACCTCCTCGCAGCTTGCGCACAAACGAAGCCACCGCTCGAGATATCCTCACGATTTGCCCGCTTAGAAAGCTCAGAGAGTGCTACGCCTACACCGATGGCGGCCTCGGATTACCATCGCGACGTCGGGACTACATAAGGCAGGAACTCCCACTTAGGACTTCCTCGCCACTTACTCACCAATGAAGCTCACACACACAAACACACACACACACGCACACACACACACACGCGCGCGAAACATCCTGACGATTTGCCCCGCTAGGGCGCTGTAGTGGTACGCCTGTTACACAAGGGTCGTGACCGCCTCTGCATGCCAACATGAGTTGGCAGGCTTCTGCGGAAAACTTGCCATTCGCACTCGAAACTCCCAACCGACAATTCCTTAATACGGAGGTGTGAGCGGATGTGTGATTGTGAGATGATGATGATGCTGCTGATGATGATGACGGCGACGATAATGATGATGCTTTGTTTCGGTAAGATATCGGGTGCCCGGCCGCGGCCGGCAGAATTATCCTGGGGGCGCTGCGTTCGCGCAGCGTCGTCCTGGCGTCAGGGTCCCTACGGCATATTTGTCCGAAGATGCTGCCAGGCTTTCGCAAAGGAGCGGCGGCGACGAGAAACGCCTTCAGCCTTGCTCCGAAGTCCTGGTCGGGCGTCCCAGGATGACGGTTTCTAAAATAGCGGCGCGCGCGGAGAAAATACATGGCGCAGGCAGGCGCACAAAAAACGGCAAATATCACGCAGAGGATACAAAGAGAAGGGCACATAAAACAACGGGCGCCCAGGGGTCACCTCAAGGAACCCTGTTCCACTCCGGCGGTGGCGCGCAACGCGAAGACAGGACATTCAGGATAGTTACGCTCACAATCGAATAGCATTAGTGGGAACACGCTGTTGGCGACGATCAACACGAGCCTGCATGCGCCGGACGACGTCATCAAGACTGGGGCAGATGAGGCATATGCAACCAGAGACCCCCTTGCCGAATGCCACGTCGAACCGCGGAGCGCCCACGCCTACGCCCCACCCGTGGTAATGATGACGATGATGTACGAATTATACGTGTAAGGAAGTTGACGAACCGTACGCGCGAACCTCGGTGCACCCCCCCCCCGCAGAGCCTCTATCATGAACGCGATCAAAGGAGACGGAGCAGCATATCTAAAGCCAGCCAGGAGCATGCCAGAACGGTCGCGGCCCTGGCGCCTCAACTATCGACAGACACCGCTTTGCCAAGCACGCGTGCCCCAGAGATGCAAGATCGCGGGAGAGGCAAGCAACATGTGCTGGACAGCAATTCGCCGCGGGACTCTCGCGGGGGGTCCTCCTGGCGCTCTGGGGGGGGGTGGGCAAGGAGATGCGAGTGTGGCGAGAGAAAGAGACAGGAAGAGAGACAACAGAGAGACCCCCGTTCTCCCTATCCGCGCACTCTTCCGACGAGGAGCTCTTCGAGCAAGTGTGTGCGCGCGCCGCGCGCGCGCGCCCATGAACCGCCGCGCGGCGCGGGGTTGGAACTAGCGCGCTCCCGCTGGCAATGGTAGAGGGCAGAAAATCCACCCCGACAGTGACCGCCCCGACACGCGAAGCCGTTTAATAAACGCACCCAAAGAACAGTAAACGCCAATTGTCCTGTCCGGGTGGTTTTTCCTCCCTTGAAATGAAGAAGGGCGCTCGAGACGGAACAGGGAAGAACGCGCATCCCTCAGGGCAAAGATGTACCATCACAGCGGAGTGCAAAATACGGCTCCATCTACCACGTGCAACTGCCCTCCCCGGCCAGGTGCACTGCCGACCCCAGCTCTAATAACATGTCGGGGCAGCTGGCGCGCCTGCGCCTCCATGCCCAGTGGTGAACCCTGGGCCTCCGCCGCGCGCGTGTCCATCGTCGTCGGGACGTGGCCTTCCATGTGGGCCCAAAGGCCGCCCTGAAGCTGGGCGCCACCGCGACGGCATAGCACGCCACCACCTTTGGGCACCAAGTCTTTCGAGGCAGCCCACTGGAGCTCGGAGTACTTCACGCGGGTATTGTTGTTAAAGTGCTGGTGGCACCTGCCGTCCGTGTGCCAGCTGAGGGGGTCGCTGCCAGTGTGGCGCAAGGTAGGAGGCGCCGTCTCGAGCTTGGACTCGGGTCGCGTGGGCCCGCTTGGGGTCGAATAAAGTGGGGGCAGCATGCGAGCGATGGTGTGCGCGTGGTCGCCCCGCTGACACATGCTGGAAGCCTGGGCGTGCATCATCTTGCCCCTCTTCAGCTCAACGACGCGGACAATTGCGGCGTCGGCTTCGCACTGCCCCAACGTGGTGATGCCCTTTTGCTCTTCGGTGAGTGCGTAAGCAGCGATGTCGCGCAAGCCGTGTCGCACTGTTTGTGGCCCCTCTTAACGATGAGCGCCAATTCCTCGGCGTTCACGCGCGCCGTCAGAGCGCCGCATGGGAGAAAGGCAATACGCGAGACCTTCGGCAAGAGAGCCCCCACGTCTGCGCAGGTGCCACTCATGACCTTGACCTGTCGGACGGCGCAAGACTTCTGCCGACAACGCTGGTGTGGGCGCCGATCGCCCACGAAGCGGGCTATCCGCACGCGGGGTACTCGTTGCCACCGGGCTTGCCCAGGTAGCCCGCCTGCACCATGTGGTCATAGGCAACCTTCGTGTCCATGGCCCGAAAGCCGTCATACGTGCGCACCTTTTTCAACGCCTAGCGGCCGCGGCGAACCCGAGCAAATTTGTGGTTCGTCGGCGCGTAGAGGGCGCCAGGGGCCTCGAGACGCTTGCGTTTGGCCTTGTTTGCCTTGTTTGCCTTGCGGGCCTGTTTCGGTCGACCGCGTTTCCGCTCTGCTGCCAGGATCGAGCGTTTGTTGCGGCGCTTCTGGGGGGAATGGCCGCCGCGGGCGCGGCTTCCGCCGCGCGCTGCGGCAGCTGGCGTCTTCCGAGCAGTGCCCCCCATCGCTTCCGTCAACTGCCCCCCTGGCAGCGGGCGGTTCTGACCGTGCGCGGAATCACCCTCGAGCCAAAACAACTGCGGTGCATGTGAATGTGTCGAAGAAACTGGGGATAGAGCGTGTCGAAGTAATCGAGGGTGGAGCCGTGGATGTGACCGCCTGGTCGCGCGTGAGCTGCTTGCCCATGGTTTCGAGGATCTTCATCTCAGCGCCAGCTCCGCTAATCGCAATATTCCCAGCAGGCAACTGCACCCCATGCCCACCCAAGATACGTTTCAGAGCGGCCACGCGGCTGCCAGGGGGGCGCTGATCGATACCACAAAATGCGGCAGCGACTGTCGCTGCACCTGCGGGCCCTGCCTGGAGCCAACAAGGCTCAAGCTAAAATGGCTACGGTTGATGATCATGATGTTGATGATGATGATGATGGTGATGATGATGACGGTGATGGTGATGACGATGATGATCGATGATGGTTATGATAATGGTGCATGACGATCATGATTGGATGGTGATGGTGAGAGTGGTGAGGGTGATGATGATTATGAGGTTGATGCTGATGATGCTGATGCTGATGATGATGGTGGCGGAGGTGATGATGATGATGATGATGATGATAATGATAGTGATAGTGATAGTGATAATGATGATGATGATGATGATGATGATGATGATGATGATGATGATGATGATGATGATGATGATGGTGATGGTGATGGTGACGATGATGATTGTAGTTGGATGGTGATGGTGATGTGACACAGGAGCGGAGGAGAGGGTGCTCCTGTTCCTGTTCCTGTTCCAGCGCGGGTGGTGTAGAGAAAACAAGACGCCCATCTAGGAAGTGGGGAACAACCACGCGAAATATCTTGGCCCTGGATACCTGCGCCACCCTGGTCATCGCCCTTCTCTCAGACACTCACGAATACTGAATGCACCCCGAGAAAGCAGGCCGGCGCCACCCCGGAGCCCATGGCCGCGCTGCCCTCCGCCACAGCGACCAACCTGCGGGTCCCCTGGTCCAGCTGTGCGCCAGCCGCGGCGAGCCCGCCGGCGCCGAAGTCGATGGTGATGAAGGGGCCCGGCGACCTGGCGGCGCCGAGGTGCCTCCTCCCCAACGGCGAACGTATCCATATCCGCGCCCCTGTGGTCTGCATTCCTGGGCGCGCGATCACGCAGATACGCGGTCGCACGGGTACGTTCCGCGCGGGAGATCCGCGAAAAGTCGCCCCGTATCCGCGGGGTCGCGGTCGAGAGGCCCGACCCGCGAGGGCTTGGATGCGAGTATATTCTGGGGAGGACTGCCGTCTATGACTCCCCCACAGGGCGTGCCGCCGATCTTCTGGGTGGAGGGCAGAAGAACCGCCCGAATGATGGGCAAGCGTCGCGCACTCCGCGCACGAGGCCGAAACTCCCACACGATCCGTGCACTCCCATGCAGCACGGCACTTCGCTCCGCCGATGCCAGCGATTCCAGGCCGCCAGCATGCGATCTCGTCAATAAAACTGATGGTGAGCAGACTTGCCTCAAGAAGTTGTCACTAGATGGATGCAGGGCTGCTCAGCAGACGCGAGCGACGTTTTACGTAGTAGCCGCCAGCTGAGGGTGGAAGAGCCAAGGAGTCTTCTTGTTGGAACGAACACCCAACTTTTGCGACATCCCGCTCGGCGAAGGTCCAGTCTCCAGGTCGAGGAGGCATCGTAGACTATCTCGCTGGAGGTGGACCGATGGTGGTGGTGCCGTTTCTCCTTCCACCGATCCTCCTGTTCCTCCTCCTCTCCCTCCTCCTCCTCCTCCTCCTCCTACTCCTCTTCCACTTCCTCTCCGACTTTGCCCCCCACGCACTGCTACTTCTCTCCTCTGCCCCCGCGGCTCTCCCGCACCCTAGCTGTCCTCCCAGGCCTCCGGCCCTTCTCGAGGCCCCAGCGCATCCCAGACATCCGACGTCGCGAGTTTCCCAAAACGTAGCTCACCAGAGGTCTGGGTATCTTCCTCAGGCTCGTAGTTCCATCCTGAATCGCTGCTGATAACCCCAGTGTCCAAGAAAGGTCCCGAGGAGAGAGGCTGGCCGAAGACTCTCAAAAACCTCCCGTCGTGATGTGTCCCATATCCTGAGTATTGGGATCTTGGTGTTCGTGTGATGCCTCCGCTTTCTGACCTCACCTCACGGGCCTCCTGCCTCACCTTACCAATACGCAGATCCACTCGCACGCAGACTCAGTCTTGCTCAGACATGTTCGCACTCGCAGTAACTCGCCTTCACTGATATGCCTATTCAGTCACTCTCAGACCTACTCGCGCTCATACTCACATAAGCTGTTGCTACACGTATTCAGACTCACTCTTACACATTTACGGTCGCATTCAGACTCACACTAATTAAGACTTACTCATACTCAGACTCACTCATTCGCATCTCCACTCGTATTCAGACGCACGCACAGTCATTACACTTTCATTTAGATTCACTCGTCCAAGCGTCTTCTCCGAGCCCACATGTTTTTTTTTGCGAAGTCCAAGGCATCGCTCTCGGGCATGCCAAGGGGCAGCCGCAAGGAAGTGTTGCACGGGCCCGTGAACGCCCAGATTGTTAGGACCTCTCAAGTAGAATGCGAATGGGCGGGGCGGTGGCCGCGTCTCTTGTCAGAACCTCCAGATCGCCGCGATGTAGCAGGCATCGCGTTGGGGAAAGAAACCGTCACAAGGGGACTCTACGGGCCCGATCGCGCCCAGACTGGTGGGACCCCTCAGGTAGATTGCCCCTGTGGGGCGGTGGACGTGTCGCTTTCTGGAGGCCCTAGAATAATGGCCATGTCAATCGCACTGCACTTGGGCATCAAAAAGGAGAAGCCGCGGTTGGGCATTGCAGGATGAGGGGGCGGAGGAGCGAGGTAAAGGAACGCGCTGAAAAAGAATGGATATCCACCTGCTCCCTGAACACCAAGGAAGACATGAAACCACTCGATCCCCGAAATCAGAAGGCGGCATCAGGAGACCCGAAGATACCACTTTCAACGACCGATGGTGCATGGTCCGTGGGAACCCATCGAGTCGTCGGTCTCTCGAGAGAGGGGGTGTCGACGCCGATGAGCCCAAGTGGGTTGCACTGGGGACCTTCCTGGAGCCGCTCGCTCCGTTCGTGCGCCGACGCGGCGTCGAACGTCCGTCTGCCTGGATCGAACTCGAACCGAACTACAGTCGGGGCGTTGACCAAAGGAACCCCAAATAAGGAATGAAGCCCCTTTTCCCCATGAATTAAAATTCGATGTCCCACGGAAAACCGGAGGAAAACCCAAAGCAAACTGTAAAACAATCAAGGAACACCGAGCCCCTCCCCAACAGAAAGGGTTCCTTCTTCAGCGCCCCAACTGCAAAGTCGAACAGATCCGTGAGATGGGACACAGGAAGGGCCCAACAACGAGCATCCAAAATGTGGCCATGACCCACACACCCGACGTCATGACTTGTTCACGACGTCGACCCCCAAAGGTCTTGACCCCTTCCTGGGGACCGTTTTTTCATCCGGGGCCGTTTCTTGTTACGACCCCGAGGCCTCGCGACGGCCCCCAGGGGCTGACACACACACACACACACACACACACACACAAACACACACACAAACACACACACACACTCACACACACGCATTTCGTCGTGATTCTTTCCCGACGCGAGGGGGTCTGGGTAAGGACCCCAGCTCAACAGCTCCTACAGCTGACCGATTCCAGAACCCGGAACCCAAACATGTTTTCATCTCTTGGGGGCGCATCTCTTACTTCCGCCGACTTCCGCTGGCTACCCGCCAGCTTGCGACGACGGAACCGCCCACGTTTTACTTCCGCCAGCTTCCGCCGACCTTCCGAGGCCTTCCTTCGATCATCACAAGCGAAGCCCTTTCTGGAACGCCCCAGTTGTTGCTGACCCGTGCCTCCCCTCCAGGCCCCCCCCTCCGTCCGGCAAGACAGCGCCGAGGCCGAGGCTGCTCCTCCGCCATGTCTGTGGGCAGCGCGAACGCCAGAGCGTTGGACCGATGTACGGAGGCCTCGGCACCACGTGGCATGCGTGTGTGTGCGTGCTCTCGAACACTCGCGAGGCTCCTTGCTCCAGCCGCATGCGCCCCCACATTGCGTGTGCGTGTGTGTGTGGTGTGTGTGTGTGTGTGCGCGCGTGCGAGTGTGTGTGTGTGTGTGTGCGTGCGTGCGTGCGTGCGTGCGTGCGTGCGTGTGTGTGTGTGTGTGTGTGTGTGTGCGTGTGCGCGTGCGTGCGTGAGTGAATTGGCCGGCCCACGCGCGTCTCGCCCACGCTCTACCTGCAGCGCGCCCCGCCGCTCCGCGCGTGGCCCCGACGAAAACAACTGTGCGCGTGTGTATATAGGCGACGTTGCAGCATGTTCCACTGCGAAATGTTTTCTGGCATCGGCCTGCCACTGTTCGGGCTTCATCCCTAGGCCTCAGCATGGCATCCTCGCCGCTGGTCGACTGCCCCTCTCCCCCCTTCCTGCGCACACCCTCGCACCTGCCCCCTCGCGAGTGTCGCCATTAAATCCTTCATAAGCGGATACAGCTGCTCCATGCTGCGTAAGCTGGCCCAGACCGCGCGCTGATCTCGCTTGACCTGTCCTACGGCGCGCCTCGCGCGTGGCCGCGACGCTCAAAGTGTATGTGCGTGACGGTATCTGAGGGCTCGGGCGTTCCTAAAAGCGCCCGACATTGCTCTTCGAAGACTTTCTCCGCCCTGTCGCTGCGCGCAGGGCCGCGAGGCAAGTCAGTGTGTGTGTGTGTGTGCGTGCGTGTGTGTGAGTCCGTGTGTTGGGTGTGCGTGTGTGTGAGTCCGTGTGTTGTGTGTGTTGTGTGCGTGTGTGTTGTGTGTGTGTTGTGTGTTGTGTGTTGTGTGTTGTGTGTTGTGTGTTGTGTGTGTGTGTGTGTGTGTGTGTGTGCGCTTTCGGCCGTCGCTTCGTTGTCTTCTCCTCCCCTCTTGCATGGTGGCTCAATTCGCTTAACGGCAACCCCTTTTTGCTTCCTCGCCAGCGCAATGACTCTGCCTAGCCGCCGACGTAGAAAATGTGTGTGCACGTGTGTGCGTGTGCGTGTGAGTGTGTGTGTGTGTTTCTATGTAGGGGGGGGATCCAGCTTCTCCACGCCACGTGAGCTGGGCTGGCCCGCGCGCTCCCGCCTGACTTGACCTACGCCGCGCCGCCGCGCGCGTGGCCGAGACGCCAAACAAGGTGTGCGTGTGTGGCCTTCCTGCCCCAAGGGCTCCCACTGCTACCTGTTACCTCGTCCTGCGTGCGCACCGCCGATGCGGACCGCTTCTGCGCATGCTCCTTTTTTGTTTCGCGCTGCCGCACTGCTCTTCTGTGGATTTCTCATCGGCTTCCTCCGCTGTCCCCCTCGCGACTGGCCGACCACAGCGAGTGATGCTGCTGATCCCCTATGGGTGGATCCAGTATCTCCACGCCGCGTGATCTGGGCCGGCCCGCGAGCATCTCGCTCTCGCTCGACCTGCAGTCGGTCTCGCTCGCCGCGATGCCCAAAAATATAGGTGTGTGCGTGTGTGTGTGTGTGTGTTCGTGTGTGTGCGTGCGTGTGTGTGTGTGTGTGTGTCTGTGTGTGTCTGTGTGTGTAACAGGTTGACTCCACCTGCACGCCCCCACGCCTCGTTTGTCTTGTTCTGAGCGCGACTTGCCCCGTGCAGTTTCCTCATCTGCAACGCCAGGCGAAATTCAACTTAATGTGTGCCGCCTCTCGCGACGGTGCCCCAACCTCGCCCCTTGATGAAAAAGTGTGCGTCGAGAGTCGAGGCTTCGGAATGTTTTCCGAACTCAAATCTGAGCGATTGCCCATGATGGCCTGCGAAACTTCTGACAGTGCCCTGAAAGGACCACTGCGGCCCCACGAGGCCCCAAGGAATCTCCAAGACACCCCAAAAGAATCTTCTGACTGACCTCCCAAGAGACCCCAAAAGACCTCTAAGAGGCCTCTTGTCCACGACTCAGGCACGGCAGTGAAACGGGTCGAAGGCCATTCGATATGCACCAGAGCCTCTCACGCTTCGCGCGCGCAAAGGCACTCGTCTAGCGCGTGCAACCATGCCAAACAAATCATGGAGCACACATAAAAACAGCTGGTTCCACAAACCGTTGTTCCTGTGGAGCCGTCCTACTTGGGAGCCACCTCAGGCTCACATTATGATTGACATTCTCGAGTTTATTGTCACTACTCGTTTGTTTACTATTATGAGGTGTGTCTCATGATTGCAGTTATGATTTCTCCCACCGCGTGTTCCTCGCAAGGTTTCCACAACGGAACGGAAAACTGATGCAGCGGTTACGCCGGTGTGGGGGTGCCCTTGCTCTGGCTGGGCACCTCGCTGAATTTCATACCTCTACCTGTTCGAACTCCATACATATATATATATATATATATATATATATATATGCATTAAACATTGATATATATATATATATTAAAAAAAACTAGATGGGTGCAAGACCAGTCCTTCTTTCCAAGCTGGCGCCGACGCCCGTATGGCAGGCCTACAAGGTGCTTGTCTCTCAAAAGGAGCGCCTCTTCTGGTGGAGACAACGGCTGGCAGGACTTCGTGAGGAGGTGGCTGAGCTGGTTTGCGACGGGAGGGTGTCTCCCAGCGTCGGTGATGCACCCTGACTTTCATCTGGCCCCTCCTCCCTCCTCGTCCTCCGCCCTCTCAAAGGACTCCTCCCCCCGGCTGGGCGCCGCTGTCTGGGAGCGCGACGCAGTACTCCATCAGCATCTCGTCCATGCGAGTGGCGCTGCCTCTCACCGCCAGGCAGAGCAGAGGACAAGAAGAAGTGACAATCCTGCTGCACCCCAGAATCTCTCCTCCTCCTCCCCCTCCTCCTCCTCCTCTCTCCTCCTCCTCCTCCTCCTCCTCCTCCTCCTCCTCTTCGTCTTCTCCTCCCCGTTATCCTGTTGCTGCTGTTGCTCTTCCTCCGAGGGTGCCCGCGCTGACGCACAGGAGCTCACAGGACGACGACGATGACAACGACGACGGCGGCGGCGACGGCGGCAGCGACGACGACCGCGCAACGACACCGCGACGGCGGCGACGACGCCGACACCCCCCCTTCCTCATGTTCGTTATCCTTCTTCCTCCTCCTCACTCCTCCTCCTAGTCCTCCACCCTCATCCTGCTGTGAAGCAGGCCCCTCATGTCACAACTCCTAGTGGGCATTGCGTCCTTGTACGGAGCAGGTTGCCACATGTAAGGATAGGCGACGATCTGGGCTGCCGTTGAGCACGCCCCCCGGTGTCACCGCTCGGGTGGCGATCCACATGTCGCCACCTGAGGCGATGGGAAGGTGACGACGTGGGCGGACGTAGAACACGCCCCCTCGGTCACCCAGAAAGTGGTGACTCCTAAAGCCTTGGACCATATCCCCCCTGGGAACCCTCAGGTGTTCCACGTGCAGTCCCCGAAGATATACGTAATCAGTTTCGTATTTGGGGGGGGGGGGGGGGGCGAAAAAAAAAAAAAAAAAAAACCAAACGGGGGAATTAGTCTTGCGCCGCAATCCGGGGAGAGGACGGTCAACAAGTCGCCCCCCCCTAGCTCCTGGCAGAACAACAAGCCCAATCTGTGGGATGTCGTGCAGGTTTCCACAGACAAGGGGGGGTCCACAGACACTCCGCCTGACCCCTACCACACCCCCTCAGAGGGGGGGGGGGGCAAGACAAATTGGAGACCACCACGCGACGCGTGATGGCCCATGCGCGTCTCCTTCGATGTTCCCTGACTGACTTCGGGAACATATCCATGTTCCTTGGAAAACTTCAGGGGAGTTCGGAATACATGTTCCCAGAGAAGCCGCTTGGAACCGTTGTCCCCGACCCTGCATACATTCGGCGTCCCGCGCCCCCGCTTTGGCTGCCTGACCGAAAAGCACGCGGTAGTACAAGGGGGAAAGTGGGCAAGGGGGTATTCCCGACGGGGCTGGGTCAGTCTGCGCCACGCAAGCCGCCCTCAAACCGCTTGCCATACGTAGGGAAACGAACTCATATACACCGACGCTTTTGCCAGCCCTGCACTGAAATTCGCACAGGAAAGCGGATCCTGGTGAATATGGGATCCTGGTGTATACATGTTCGGTGTTTCCCCAGGAAACAAGAAACGGAGAAAGAAATATACACCACACCACCCCGACGTCCTCCCTGACCCTCCAACAATCCGGGCACTGACAAGCAGCCCGCCCCTGGTAATGTACATGCCCCAGTTTCCTAACAAGGCCCGCGCCTTCCAACAAGCAGCCATCTTCTAAGCGTCCCACCCTCCCCCCCTACCCCCCCATTGCGCGTGGCCGATCTGATCCGACACCTGGTCACCTACCCCCATGTAGCACTCAGAAGACCACCGCGTCAGCAGGCTCACCTCCTCTTCGGGGCGCAGCCCCCCGGATGTCCAGATCCGCTGGGGTCGCCAGGAGGGGCAGCGGGGCGAGGGCGGGGAGAACATCCATTCCACGGACCAGTAGTACGACCCTTGAATCAGCGCGTGCCTGGGCGACTCCGAAAATTCGTCATCGAGATCGGTTCCCACTGTACGTTCAGCCTTGCGAGGACCCGTCCCTGCACCCAGCTGCGAGTCTAAGACACACCTCCCCCCCGTCCTCCTGTTCCTGCTCCTCCTCCTCCTCCTCCTCTTCCTCCTTCTCGTCCTCCTTCTACTCCTCCTCCTCCTCCTCCTCCTCCTCCTCCTCCTCCTCCGCTCTTTTCCTCATAGATAACGCCTCCGTGTCGCACCCCGATGCCGGTCGAAAGGGCGGGCCGGGCGATTCGCCTGAGACTTCCTCACCTCTTATGGGTATTAAGCTCAAAAGGTGGCAACAGCTTCCCAAATGGAGGGTGGGTAATTTTCAACAAGTGGCTCTCGGCTCAGCGCCGCACGCATTCGTGGAATTAGTGTGGCTCGTTTCCAAAATGCGTTTCGCGCCTTAGCGCCGCGCATTTTCGTTGTACAACTTTGTAAAAAATTCGCGGATTGAGGGCGGGTGGTTGTCAAAATGCGGTTCTCGCCTGAGCGCCGCCCACACTTGCTTCAACAACTGCATGATCTTGGCGAATTGATGGCGGTTTGTTTTCAGCATGTGGTTCTCGTCGTAGCGCTGCACACAGTCGCTTTAAACCTATGCAACAGTTGAACGGATTGAGGGCGGGTGGTTTCCACATTGTGGTTATTGCCCCGGCGCCGCGCAAATTCTAGTTTAGAGCTTTGCAGGAGCTTGGCGGTTTGACGGCGGTACGTTTTCAAAATGTGGCCCTCGCGTTAACACCGCGCGCATTCGTTCAAATAAACTTAAAACTTCATGGATTGAGGGTGGCTGGTTTTCAACATGCGATTCTCGCCGTAGCGTCACGCGCACTCGTTAAAATAAGTGCAAGGACGTCATTGGCCCTCCTGGTTGACGTACCAAAGATGGCGTCCTGGAGAAGCTGAGAATTCTCGGGTTCACTTTGGCCCGCAGTGTTGAAATCCCAAGAAGGGCACTTTGGCACGATTCAGGACCGCCAGGACGTAACCCTCGGGTTCAGTCGTGGCATGCAAATCATGAAAAGGGTGTTTTGGCACGTTTCGGAATGTTCGCGCGGCTGTCCCTTTATCAGGGCCAATCGCAGACTGGCTTCTAAGGAAAAGGGAGGGAAGGGCTACTCCAACATCGTTGATGCGCCTTGGGTTTACACTTCTCCTCCTCCTGCTCCTCCTCCTTTTCATCCTCCTCCTCCTCCTCCTCCTCCTCCTCCCTTATACTCATCCTATTGCACTTATTCCTGCCCGTGTTCCCCCCTCTTCCTTCTCCTCCGCCTCCTCCTCCTCGTCCTTTTCCTCCTCTTCCTATTCTTCCTCCTCCTCCTCCTCCTCCTCCAACAGCAGAAATAAAAGGGGTGACAGCGGCAGGCCAGCAAGCAGCAGTAGGGGGCGAGGCAGCTCTGACTCCGAGCTGCGCAGAACCGACAAGGGGAAGAGGAAGGAAAAGGGAGAGAGCAGGAAAGGACCGGGAGGCGGAGGAAACGGCCGCCAGGCGGGGAAACGCGCGCCACCACCACCCCCCCTAGGCGCGCGCGCGCCCGCCGGAGGCACGGAGCGGGAAAGGAGGGGGAGAGCAGGGGGACGAGAGGGGGGAAAACTTGCCTGGTGCACGCGTTGGCGTGGAGAAAAGAAAATCGGGTCGGGCGAAAGGGGGGCATAGCGAAGGGGGGGGTTGATAATCAGCTCACGTAGCTGATTTTCCCGGCGCCTCCCGGCGCCGGAGGCGGCTATGTATCGAGGAATGGGCCCCTCGGTGAGGCCGAAACCAGCTGCATGCAGCAAATTTCGTACCCCCCCCTTTCCCAATCCCCCCCTTTCGCACGACCCGAGAAAAGCAGACATCAGTGCAAGGAAGGGAGGAGGCGAAGCGCGAGGCGCGCGCGACAGCAAGAGCGGCCCGGCAGGGGCAAGGAAAAGAAAAGAGAGGGGCGGGTGGGGGCGGGGGCGGTCGGGCGGGCTGGTCGCGGTAGTGGGCGTCACGCCGATGGTGGCTGCGGTGGTCGGGCTGGTGGCCGCGGCGGGGTCGGCACTGGTAGCGGTCACGCTGCCAGCTACCGCGGCAGGTCACGGCCGTCCTGTCCGCTGTGGAGCTGCTGGCGGCCCCCCGTGCGTGACGCGTCCTCTCGGCGGCATGCCCCTGGTAGAGCACTCACCGCCCCACGGCTGCCAAAATGGCCTCGGCGCTTCCGAGCTGCAACCGCGTGCTCAACTGTTGCCAGACATAGCGGATGACTCCTGTCCGCTCCGCCGGGGCCATGTCGTGGACGTACGCCACGGTGGCGTCTCCGGGGCGGCGCCCTGTTTCGAAGACCGCAGGGATGAGCTGGCCTGGCAGCGGTCCCGCTTGGCGTCCTCCGCGTTGGTCGCGGCGAGGCCGTCCACCTACTCCTCCTCCTGATCGATTCCTTTTCCTTGAAATAGCTTCTCCCTGTTGCACCCCTAGGTATGTTTTTAGGGCGGGCCGGGCGTTTCGCCTGAGACGCCCTGACCACTTACGACCCTGACCCTTAAAACAAATGGCAACAACTTCGCAGATGGATGGTCGGCCGTTTTCAAAATGAAAATTTCACAGGTTGATAGCAAACTGTTTTCAAAATGTGGTTCTCGCCTTAGCGCCGCGCACAGAGTTTTTTAACATTAAAATTGCGCCAAACAGATCATGGATTGAGGGCGGGTCGTGTTTTTTTTTCGACGTCTCCTATACGCTCACATGCCATTTTGTCAATTTCGATGTGACCTCCCAGTACACGATTAGCAATTGAGACGGAGGCTCTGCCCTAGTCCTCAGCTCCCTTCGTGGTGTGCGATGCTGTACAACTCCGGGCCTGCGAGCCGCGGCCTCTGACCCAGGCCGGAGTAGAAAAGAATGAAAACGGCGTGGCGTTGCCGCTCCTGGCCGCTTTCGCAGTGCCATGTGCGTCGGAAACACGACGGGCCAAGACGCCCTGTAACGAGGAGGAGGAGGAGAGGGAGGAGGAAGAGGAGGAACACTGAAGAAACTGGACAGACGCACGTGTGCGGCCCAACTCTCCAGCGCGCAATCTCGCGACGGCCTGAAACGGAAGAAAGGCTTAAAAGTTGTACCGACAAATTTCCGTACAGATGACCCGGCACCCAGGGGAGGAGGAGGGAGGAGGAGGAGGAGGAGGGAAACAAGCAGCTACACAGCCGCCCGGTGCTTTGAGCACCTGCACGCGGCCTCCGGGCCCATGAGAGGA